GAAGGGTAGCGGTCGTACGCCAATTACCATGTTTCTCTTTTATTAGATTAGATATTTTTTAAAACCACTTTTGTCTTTATTGATTTTAACTTTTTTAAAAAAATACGTTTTTATTGATTTTAGAGAGAATTGTAGGAAGAGGAAGCGAGATAGAAACATCAATGAGAAACACTGATTGGCTGCCTCCTGCATGCCCCCTACTGGGGATTGAGCCTGAAACCCAGGCATGTATCCTGTCTAGTGCATAGGACGACCTCAATCCACTGAGCCACACCGGCAGTCTATAATTACATTTTAATGACTGAATAATATAATCTGTCATACTGAGTTACTATAATTATTCAATATTTCCTTACTGAGGGACTTTTAGGTTGTTTCTATTTTTTTCTCTTGTAAATGTATTGCAGTGAATATTGTGCATAGATATATGTCTTCATCCTTGTCACTTCCTTGTAGTGAGTTTGGGGAGGTATTAGGTACATTTAGAAAATATAGAACAGAACAAGTTTTATCTCCAATCTGCTTTTGCCTTGCTGATCAGGCTTTCTCAAAATCATACATCTGAATCAAAAAAATAGAGAAGACACAGAACAAACCTAATCTTTGAACACCCAATGTATTCTGAAGGGAAAAGTTGGATTTTGTTATGCACATTATTTAAATCCCAACAATAGCCACTAACCTGTGTTGTGTGCCTCCAGCTGTGACAGGGAGTTCACAGCCACTTTGCATAGTGAACAATAAAGCAATTTTTTGGCTTTTTCTTCTTCCGATTCAGAGACAGTACCAGGAGCCCCATTTGTGCTCTTGGAGGGAGAAGTGTCTGCGCCCAGTGGCAGGGCTGTTGTGCCAGATTTGAGGAGAAAGGAGCCACCTTCAGAGTTTGACGGCTGGCTGGAACTGCTGACTTTTAGCTTCCCTCTGTCTTCTAAGAGAGACACAGAGAAATGGTATTAAAGCTTCATGTATCATATCAACACAGATAAATGGACATACAGGAGTTACAAATAAGAATTTGATTTCTATATTTGGTTTTACCCCAGCACAGAGTTTAGTCCATAAGTCTGATTACAACAGAATCCCATGCCATCAGTTTCCATATCAGGTCACCTGAAGGTCATGATAACATAAGAAATGACTCATTCTCCCACTTGAAGCCGGTAACTTTCTACCCTTGAATTGTAAATTTTGCTCCAGGATGTCTTTAATATATAGGGAAACCAGATACCCTCCAATATGATGACATTATGTGATAGTAACATGAAATAAGTCATTAGGCAACGGGAGTTTCATTCGACTACTCATGTTTTAATTAGGACATGAATATAAAGTTAAAATTCAATTTTTACACCAAGTTAAACATTTCAAGTTTGGTATGTGTGGCAGAAAGGAGGAAAGAAACATGGTTTATTTTGGTTATGATTAGTTAAGTTTTTGCTGCTCTTTGAATGGAAATGATTTATCTAAAATATAGGATGCAGAGTCCATTATACATATTAACTACTGCCACTCTAAGTTATAAATTTCTATTTTTGTATAATATTGTATAAATTTAATTATATTAATCAAATATTTATATACATTTCTGTATAATAATTTTTTCTTATCAAAACCCATTTTATTATTCTTTTTCTGTAAACTGTTTTCTGCTTCCCTTAATTCTTTTTTAAAAAAGTTAACCTTATTTTTGAGAGTAGTACAGATGTCTCTTTTTTTCTCCATTGACCCCCCTCCACTCCTTACCTGTCCCCCCTTCAGGCCTTCACCATACTATTGTCTGTGTCTACGGGTTGTGCATATATGCATATAAATTCTTTGGTTAATCTCTCCCCACCCAGCACCTCATAATGACATTAACCATAGGCACAATATGAGGTTTAACCAAATAAGTTACAGACATCTGGCATTTTGATCATGCAGCTACTAAATGATTATAATCCTTAAGGCCCATATGCAGTCTGTATGAGGGGCCAGAGCGACTTTAACTCTTCAGGGTTCATTTGCTATTCAAGACGCTCCGTTCAGTGGCTCCTTTGGGAAAGAAAAGGGAACTTCTTAAGCAACAGTGAAATCCATCACAGGTTTAATCCTACTAGAGCTGGTGCTCTTAGAAAAAGACCATAGATATGCTAATAAACTCTTATTAAGAGAGAAAGGGAATTAAACCTGAAGATATATTTGTTCATTGCCCAGCTAATTTGGAACCCTTTACCATGGGCCTGTGTACCATGGGATCTGTGTGATGACCAAGAGGCCAGGTGTGACCAAGGGAACAGCAACATGACAATATGTCTGTTCTGCATACCAGGCAAAGCAAAGCTTTCACACACATCAAACTAAAAGGAGATCACATCTCTACTTAATTGATTGAGGGATCAGCCGTTGACTCCCACCCCTTTTTCTGCCTTGGATCCATCCAGGTCAAGACCAGATATAGCAGGGATTCTACAGATGAATTCCAAGTCTGGATGGTATTTAAAATAAGTGAATGCTCAGGTCCATTTTTATCCTTGGATTCCACAATCTACATTCCTTTCCAGCAACTTTATTAAAACTTCAGGATGCCATGAAGTATGATGGAAAATATTTTAGATGTTCACTAAACTGACCTCAACAGTAGTAGAGAAGGAAATGGAATCATCCTTCCTAAATGATAATAGTGAGTAAATTAGATTGAAGATTATTTCAGGTCTGGAACACTTTTATCTATAAGGACCCCTCAGAGTAAAAATGCAGTGTTATAGAACACACCAAGTGAAATTAGTCAGTAATCTTAACATTTGCCCTTATGGCATTACTGTTTTTTATGACGGAAACCTAAGGTATTGCATAGCAAAATCTTTCCTTCAAACATTTCATAAAATATTTCATATAAATTTGACCTAAAGAATCTGACCTGTTTTAGTCCCTACTTATTCTCTCTCTTTTTCATATTACTATTTGAATGTCCCTTATATTGATCTCCTCCATATATTTCTACATTAACAAAGAATTTTACAATTTACAAAGTACTATCACTTACATTGTCTTCTTATCTCTCACAGCAAACTTGTGAAACAGGTAAGGCAGCAAATGATTATTCCTTTCTTAAAGATGAGAAAACTAGGGCTCATATAGATTAAATAATGTCCCATAGGTTAGTAGGTGGCATAAATGAGCATGATGCTTTCTCTAGCTATTCATGAGTGGTAGTGAATTAATCTTCCTGCACAAAGGGAGGAGTTCATATGGCACTAACATGATAAAAGACATACAACAGCCACCCAGAAAGGTGAAAAAGCTGTTACTTTGTTTTAAAATTGTAGTTTAATTTTAAAGCTTATTTCCCTTAAATGTCAATATTTACCATATTCAACAATTATCCAATTCAGGTAACATTGAGAAGGTGAACAAAACTACATCTTTTCTCTGTATCTCTATTTCTTTAAGAAAAATATTACATTTCCTTTTCATATCTCTTTTTCAAAAGTGGTCATTTATTCATTACCAGAGGCATATTAACAATATGCTAGTTGCTGACAATGTGCTAGACTGAAGAAAATAGTAAATAAAGCAGTTATAGACTTAAGAAAGTAACAGTTTAGCACGGGAAATGAGACAGTCATTCAGAGATTTCTAATTTATGATGGAATAGTTTCCAGTAAGAGGCATGGGAGCATGGAGCGGGGAAATGATTACTCCTGGCCTAGGAAAAAGGAGACATTTTTCATGAAGAAAGTGGCATTTTGTCTGGGTTTTGAAGGTCAGAGTTAGATAAGCATAGAATGGGATGAAAAGGAGTGGGAGGGGAATGGGTGGAATAAGTGGAAGCATGAGAGAATGCTTAGGTGTTAGAAAGTGGGGTTTGCCTGATGAATATCTGGTATCATCATAGATGATGACAACAATGCCTAACTTCGTTATTCCTCATTTTAATTGTTTGATATTTTTATCAAATCCCATTATATTATTTCTCTTTCCTTACTGGCATTTTAAAGCCTCCTTATTTTGTGTATTAGAAAATTTAATTAATATACTGTTTACTTCCTTTTTTTTTTTTTTAATAAGAGGCATGTCATTGGCAACTTCTGGTTAATATGAATTCCACTTTCAAGTATTCCCTCACATAAAGCAGGGCTCTGGCTGTCTTAATTATTTCCTGATTACTCAAACACCTTTTCAAAGGTTTTATCCTCCAGGATTTTGAAGCAAAATTTGCTCAGCTACATCAGAATTGCCCTTTGTAACAGATATCCATAATTTATGCAGCCAAGTGAATTTATTTCTTCAAAGTAGCCTCCTTGGGAGGTTCCACATTAATTTACTTATTTTCCAAAGCTCTCAACATTTTGAAAACCTCTTTTTGGGAGCTGTTTTCATATCCAGTTGATAAACCATGTGAAGGAAATCAGCTTTCAATATTTTTTACTCAAATTAACCCACCTATTCAATAAAACTGAGCACTATATGACTGAAATACAGCCTCGGAGAAAATGAAACATCCTAACACAGAAATGAAAAGAACATGCCAAATATTACATATTGGGCCAATCTGATGCTGGTGAGCCCTTCACGTACAATGCCACGTCATCATACCTAAAGGCAAATTCCAGAAACTCAGTGTCTTCTAGCACAGTTGATCACTGGGAAGCTTGCTAATTCCTAATGAACTACATTTCTATCTAATTTTTACATCTTGGCTTTTAGACTAATCCTGGAAGCAGTGAACGTTGTATATAAATTAAAGTGACTCTTCACTGAGTCAGAATCTGTATGTCCTTACCTTAAAAAAGCAAAGAAACTTATGCATTTTAAATAACTTAAGCCAGGTCACTAATTTCTTAAGTTCAAAACAGTCCAGGGCTGCAATTTTCTGCCAGGCTACAATCCTGACTTAGGATAGCCCTGCTCTCTCCATTTGAAAGCCTATGTCAATTGGGTCCTGGCCATTGGACTACACCCTGCAGTGACTTTGTGGCCCAACAATATGGCAGTCATTGCCCTCCTTGTCTGAGGTCTGCATGACAACTGCCCCACTGTCCCCTGCGCCACTTTGTTGGGGAGCAGAAGTTGTCAGTGTCACACTAAGATAAAACAGTGGCACCTCCAGATATTTCCATGTTGAAAGCTGGCACTGATAGTAATGAACTTGTCACTTTTAGTTCTTTTTTTTTTTTGGAACTTTTCTGAGAGTTTATTTGAGCCAAACAGAGGATATGCCTGCACTTGTCACTTTTCTAAAGGAGCACAAAAGAGGGCTTGTTTGCTAGTGTTTGAATCTAATGAACAGCTTTCTCCTATTTTATGTAGTTTTCCAGCCATTTGACTTGTACAATAGAAAAGTCACATTTCAACTTCTTCAGGGTGAAAAATTGCCCCCTTTCCGATTTGTCACTAAGAGATGTGAAACAGTTATTTCTGAGGCAGCTTTATTATGGAAAATAGAATAACTAACTCATGCCACTCAAATCAAGTCCCTCAGGGAGTAGGTCCAGTAACGATTCAAAAGCCAGGAATAAGATTAAAAATGAATTTTCTAGGTCGAATGAGGAGCAGGTTCTTTTTCTTCTAACTGAATGGCCCTTTACAAAGGAAACATAGGTTCTCAAGGTACAAGGAAAATGTTTGAATTCTGCTCCTCCCACCTCCTTCATCTCTAGATGAAGAGTTTAGGGTTCAGCTTTGACACTCCGGGTGTGGGGAAATGCACACTGACAATGGGAACGTCAGTCTGAGAGATGATGAGGAAACTGAGTTTTTCTTCATCTAAAAAGTGTATCTTTGTTTAATACAGAAAATATAAAAAATTTACAGTCAGCAAACAAGCTCATTGCTTCAGGCTGTTTGAGGGAGATAAGGGTCAGCCCTCACTCCTTCTGGACCTAAATGGGTCCTGCCTGTGCTAAGGGGCTGTGCAGACATTCAGGGGCAGGACTACCCAGGCATCAG